CCCCTGCATATAGACACTCAACCCTTGCATATATACACACCCAACCCTTGCATAAATACACGACCACACACTCAACCCTTATATATATACACACTCAACCCTTATATCTATTCACTCAACCCTTGCATATATACACACCCAACCCTTAAATATATACACACCCAACCCTTAAATATATACACACTCAACCCTTGCATATATACACCCTCGACCCTTACATATATACACACTCATCGCAGAAGTGTAATATGCACACAGAATACTTGCCTCTTCCTCAGTAAGCTCTCTCGCCGGAGTGCTGAAGTCTGTACCTTCGGCCTTGCCGCACATCAAAAGACCAATCTGTCCACTAGGATAGGTGGGGATACACACATACCCGTATCCAACAGAGGGGTATATGTTTTTATTGAACTTGATCTGCAGGGATGTGTGATGTGTTGTTAGTGAGTGCGTAAAAATCACAACAACAAAATGGATTTGTTTACTTGTCACATATACCGGTAGCCGATGAAAAGATATAGCTGCTACGACAAGTTTGACCTCAATCGCGTATATATGCGCTACCTTTCTTGTCCTGAACAATAGATGAGCACCTAGAGATTCACCACGAGCCAGCCACAGTATTCACATGGAAGATAGAAGGAAGGAACCTCACATTGAGCCTAATTCCAAGTATACAACGAAACTGTCACATTCTAAATCACATGCGATATCCCCTCTGTAGGAGTGCATGGATATTCTATCACTTGGACCTTACTGATCATGGGAAGCTCCACCTACATCGAGCCCTACATAGAAGCGATTCGATATAGATTGCCATCTCTACCGTCCATTAAGGCTACAAACAACACAATCGTTTTACGCCTTTCAAAGCGATTGTTCTACACAAGCACAACAAGCACACCAGTCGAACTCCCTTCTGCCACGGACTTTTGGCAGCATATATTCAACAAATAGATGCGTAAATGCGTACATACCATCTTCGCAAGCATCTCAAGGTGCAACCACATGCACTCGCCCTGTGAGCACACTATGCCGCCTTCCCTCAGCGCACTCTTCATCAGCTGGTAGTACTCGTCTGTGAAAAGAGCCTCGGCTGGGCCTGTGGTGCGCGAGAATCAAGCCCATGAATGTTAGAAAAGCCGTGTTCGAAGTGCATATCGAGCTCCAGTTTACTACTTGCAGGTGTGACACTTGATCTCCAGAGAATCAAATCACCGATTCGTGGGCCACCCCTAATAGTTTGTCAGTATATGTCCTGGATAAACACTACACCGCAAGACAAACTTGGCAACTTGATATAGACAGTTATGAGTACTGCTATTACGAGTATTATTAATTGTAGTGCCGCGGATGTGCGGGCGAAAGTCCCAAATAATTTTTAAAAAAAACCCCAGGGAATTCTGAAAGCTTAAGAGCAAACAAATTATTAGGAGCTACTCGAATGCAACGCATAACCCTTGATACAAATCCCATAGATGATATATTTTAGCCTGTGGCTTATTGCACCATTTCGATGGCCATAAAAGGATCTGTAAAGTGCCAGCACCTATCACCTTGATACTCTGGGCTTTGTCAATCAAACACTACGGAGCACAACTCATCCACTTATGTGTGAAGTGAGGAGGCTTACAATCTGTACACCCATCGGTTTGCTATATCTACGAGACAATACGATTTGACCAACCAGTGCATGCAAGCAAAGTAAAAGCAGTGGAGTCTTGATGCTACTACGAAACAACTTACCCACGGGATCTGAGGAATCAGTGATAATCACATCGAACGAATCCAAATGATTGCGCATGAACTCTATACCGTCCCCAATGTACAGCGTGCTCTTAGGGCTGTCAAAGCCTTTAGACATATTGGGTAAGTACTTCTTGGAAACCTCAGGAACCATCTTGTCGATGTCACAAAGAATCACTTCCTTCACAGACGGGTGCTTCACGCACTCGCGCATTACTCCGCCATCACCGCCACCGATGATGAGCACACGTTCGGGATTGGGATGTGTAAATAACGGGACGTGCGCCATCATTTCCTGATAACTGAACTCGTCCCTGTCTGTGCATTGAATCACACCATCCAATGCCAAGACATTTCCGTATGTCTTAGATTTGAATACCTGTAGTAAACCATTGTCATGAGAGGGAATGTTACAATTGCTATAT